TTTTTTTTTTTTTTTTTTTTTTTTTTTTTTTTAGTACAGACAGGGTCTCTCACTGAACCTAGAGCTCAGCAATTTGGTTGGGTGAGCTGCGGGTATCTGCCGGCCTCCACAGTTTTGCTATTGCCAGCACTGAGATTATGATAGGTACCTCTGTTCCTGCATTTGATGTGGGTACTGGGACTCCAAGCACAGGTCACCAACCTAATGAGCAAGCTCCCTCGCCTCTAGAACTGTTTTTTTTAGTATGCAACTTAAGGGGCTGGCAAGATGACTCAACAGGAAAGGTACTTGCCATTCAAGCCTGACATGCAGAACTCATGCAAAAAAATCCAGCCGTGATAGTGGGAATCTGTATTCCCAGCCACCCCACAGCAAATGGGAAGCAGGGGCAAGAGCTCCTGGAAGCCTGTGGGCAGCCAGCCTTCGGTGCACAGCATAGCAAAAACAGCAAAAGAAACCCAGCCTCAAAATAAGGTGGAACATGAGATCCCAAGCTCAAAAGCTCTCCTCTTAACTCCTCTCTCCCAACTTATTGACTGCTAGTGACCCTACGAGGGATAAATAGAATGATGCAACAACAAAAAAGTATGTTGTCAAGAGGCTGGTGGTCCATGGAGCACGTGCTTAGCATGGGTAAGGTCTTGAGCCTGATCTTAGGCACTGAATCATGTATGTGGAATTGAGTAACAAGTAAGCCATCAGTGAACAGCCGTGATCAGCATGAGGCTGCCAGAGGCCTGAGCAACACATGGGGGCCAGAGGCCTTATTTGCAAGGCTGCCTTACTATCCCTGTCTCACCAGGCCCCGTTGTGTCTCAGATTTGAAGAGGATGTGGATGGATGTGGATGAGTCCGGCCTCCTCCTGGCACCGAATGGGGCATTATCTTTCTCAGACACTAGAGATGGGATCGAAGGCTAATAGTTACAATGACACAGTGATTTCACTGGGACCTGCAGGTATTAGATCCAAGAGACACGGCTTGCTCTGGTCACAGTCCCAAGAGGTTATATTCTCTGCCACAGGCATTTTCTGAATGTTTCCAAGTTTTTAGATGTTTGAAAAATTCCCCAAGGAGTAAATGCTAATATTATCATCCCTCCTTTCGAGATGAGGAATGGAGCCATGGAGAGGTTAAGTAAATGGCCTACATCACACAGCTGGTGCATTACTGATTAGTGCTGTCTGTGTAGCCTGGTCCCAGTGCCTATGATCTTGACTACTACCCCCAGTGGTTCTCTGAAGGGGGATGTCTAGTCCAGCACTCTAGAATTTTGCTAGAAATGTAATGCCTAGGGGCCCACCCTGGACCAACTGATTCCAAAAGCCTGGAGGTGGGGTCCAGCAACGAAAGTTCCACAAACCCTTCATGGGCATGCTGTAGCATGCTGCAGTGGGGAAGAGGGTGACAGCTAAAGCCCCATCACCTACTAATACCACCTGTATCTCATGGCTTCCCCGCCGCTCGAACTACACTCCCCTTTCAGCTTAGCTGAGACCCTGGGGACATCTGTATAAGAAGGCAGAGGACATGCCATGGCTAATTTCCCTGACACTGCATGCCTGCGTGCACCTGGCATCTACCCAGTTTTAATCTGAGAGAAGCAATCGGAGCCGTGACTAAGGAACCACAGCGACAACCAATCCCAGTAATTGCCTCGATGGAGACTGAGGCGCCGTGGTGATTTATTAACACGTTCCCGGCTGTCTCCTGTCCAACCTCTCACTCGGTAACCACTGCCCTCACACCCATTTCCAGGGGCTTCCAGGGAGGGGGGCTGCTCATCATGAGTCAAGTCTCTGGCACCCCTGAGGCCCCTGGCAGAACCTTGATTGACTCATGAGCATGGGAGATGTCCTTGCAAAGAGACCCTCTTAAAGATAACAAGCCTTTAGGGAAATCAATATTTGTACTTTCAAACCTGTGATTCATCTGAGGGTCAATCCAATGAGGTGTGAGAGAAGGAGGCAATGCAGGGTGTGAATCGGTCTGGGGCACCAAGTGAAAAACTACATGGTGTGCGTGTGTGTGTGTGTGTGTGTGTGTGTGTGTGTGTGTGTTTTCCTGTGTGTCTGTGTATATGTGCTCCTGAGTTCTTCCCCCACTACTACAAAGTCTCTTGTGCAACCTGAAATTTGCTGAGTAGGCTTGGTTGTGTGGCTTAAGAGCCCCAGGGACTTCTCCCGTCTATTTCGCTAGCACACTGGTGCACCACTTCGTCCAGCTTTCGATGATCCAAACTCAGGTGCTCATGCTTGTGTAGCGAGTGCTTAACCAACCAGGTTCTCTCCCCAGCCTGTGGCTCCCCATCTCCACCCCAAGCTGATCTTCTAAACCAAATATGAAATGCAAAAGGCTTGCATGCAAATTCACAGGTGCTGTTATTTTGAGTGGAGGGTGGAGGTTATTTTCCTATCAGAATGGCAACCCTGACTGCAACAAGGCTGCAGGTGCAACCGCCCTCAGCCAGGCAGCAGGAGAATGAGGACCAAAGGAGCCCTGTCCTGGGTTGGAGAGTGGTTTTTGGATGGGAGCAGGAGAGAGGTAGGGCTGATAATCCCTTTGGGTTATCTAATAGCTCCTTCCTGGGGGGGCGGCTGGTGTGTGAGAGTGTCTCAAGATAAAATCAGAAGCCCAGTGAAATGGCTCAGTGGGGAAGGGTACATGCTGCCAAGCCTGACAGCATGAGTTCAATCTCCAGAAACCCAAATGGTGGAAGAAAAGAACTGATTCCTGCAAATTGTCCTCTGACCTCTACAGGTGTGCCAGG